ATCGGTTTTATTATACGAACTGGAAAAAAAAAATTCATTAAATTTAGTTGAAAAATTGATTACTAAGGATTATCTGTTTTTACCAGTTTTTTTTTTTTTTTCTAATTTAAAGGCTTTGACTTTGATACATTCTAAAACACTCTGATACATTCCAAAGTACACACACACACTCCGAAGCAATGTCAAACATTCTAATGCACTTTGACGCATTCTAATGCACTTTATCGCATTCTAACGCACTTTGACGCATTCTAAAAGCACTTAGACGCTTTCTGAATCTTTCCGAAGACATTCTGAAGCCCTTCGACATGTTTCAAAGCATCCTGACACATTCCAAAAGCACTTTGGCACATTCCAACGCATTCTGACGCTTTCCAAAGCACTTTGACACATTCTAATGTATCCTTAGCTCCTTTGACACATTTTGAAGCACTCTGACACAATCTGAAGCTCTGTAATACATTCTGAAACATCCTGACGCATTCCAAAGCACTTCGACATGTTTCAAAGCATCCTGACACACTCCAAAACCACCTTGGCACATTTCAAGGCACATTGACGCATTTTTAAAGCACCTTCACATATTCCAAAGTTCTCTTACTCATTACAAAGCACCTTGACACATTCTAATGCATGCTTAGTTCCTTCCAAAGCACTCTGACACGCTCCAAACACATTGACTCACTCCAAAAGCATTTTGACGCATTCCAAATCACTCTGACACATTCTAAAGTATCATTAGCTCTTTTCAAAGCACTATAACACATTTTAAAGCACCTTAGCTCATTCCAAAGCACATTGACTCACTCTCCAAAATCACATTCTAAAGCACTTTGGCACATTTGACATACTCCAAAGCTCTCTTACGCATTTTGGCACATTCTAAAGCACCTCAACACATTCCAAAGCACCTTTACATATTCCAAAGCACCTTTACATATTCCAAAGCACTTTGATACATTTCAAAGCACTTTCAGACACTCTAAATAAAACATTCTCAGACTTCGTACAACATTTTCAGACACTCTTAATAAAACATTCTCAGACTTCGTACAACATCTTTAGACTTAATTAGAAAATTGATTAAATTACTAAGAACTACCTGTTTCACCAGCTTGAATCTCTTATCCAATTCCAAAATCTTCAAAGGCTTATTTTCGTTAACTTTGGTTGCACGAATAACTGTAAAGCCAGTCGTTACACGAATTTCAAAGGACGTACCATGATATTTTAAACCTAAAAAAGATATTAGCAATTGGTAAGGTGATTTTTAAAATAATAACTGTATTTATTACCATTGATATAAATCCCGGTAACATTTTCAGGCAACATATTCAAACCATCTCCACCAACGTTTCTACCAAAGTGCAATCCTTCCAAATCGATTCTGATCATTGCATAACCATTTATTATGGTTTGCAGAAATCCTCCCATTCCTGTTAGGAAATTAACAGCACCATCGCCTGAGTTTGCTCTTCTGTTTTCATTCCAAACCTAAGAAAAAGAAAATAATTACAAAATTAGTTGATAATTATTAAATTAGTATATTACAAATACAATTTTTCTAAGTAAGTAAAGAACTGAATTTATTATTGCGATTCTTGTAGATATGAGAATTTTTAATTAAGGCGATAAAAAGTTGGGATTTCAATTAATTTCTTACAGCGTAATAAAAAAAAGAGTGCGCGTAAGGTTCACACGCGATTGAAGTAAAACTTATTTGTTACTGTACAAGATGGCATTTAAGTAAGAATTAATACACCATATAACAATTTTGAATAATGTTTCTCAGTAATATGGTAACACTCGTGATGCACATATTTATAAGTGTCGTCAATCATTATACTCATTTATATAATGATAAATTATAAATTATATATTTATAATACCATTGAAAATATGTATAATATTTAAAAACAATAATGTAATTAAAGTCATACTTCAAATATGACATGATCGGTTTGTCATTGTAATTAGCATTTAGAAATAAACCTTTATTAGAGAAATGAAGTAATTGCTGATTAATAACTTGTTCACACAGTGGATTATGCTAAACAACGCCTAAACAAACATTGTTTTCACAATTTCACTCATCATCATATAATATTTGTGTTTGAAGAACTTCATGTAATTAAAATTAACAAATATTCATTGACTGCTTGAATTTTTTTTTTATTTTTTCGCTGGCGATATAATCTCATTCTTTGAACAGTTGTAATATGTCTTGCCTAAAAAATATTTACCATTTTAATGACTTCAAACATTTATAGAAACTACGAATAAAATAGAAATAATTTCTAATCAATAAACTTACGTTTAGTACACGGCACAAATGTTTAATTTCTTGTATTATTTTCAAGGAACGGGGTAAAATATTCTTCTGATTCAGGCAATTTTCATTGAATCAAGATTTGTACTACGATGTAATTTTAAAATGTTTATCTATCTATATCGATTTCCTTGTTGATATCGGTAAGCATACAACGACAGATCTCTATTCACATACACGACAACTAATCAAAATCGACCCGTGTAGAAATGATATCATCGAAAGCGAATGACGAATCATTGGCACTCGACTCTTATCTTATCTTATCTGCCGTAACGCACTTTCGTTGCATTTGTACGGATTTACACCCTAGTTGCACCTAAAGAAGTTTTACTTAAAAATATGTTGATTAGTTTGTATTTTGTAGTTCTTTATTTCTAATTCAATTTACGAAGTAATTTGAAATAAAATAAAAAATCCTTTATCACTTATGCGTTTTTTTATAAAAGAAAAGAAAGAAAAATTGGTGATACATGTATTAGGACGTTGGTGAAGCTTGGAGTTTAAAATGAGAAAGAAAAATGTTTTTTTTGTTGCTTACTTTGAAAGGTTCCCTGACATAATCCTGATAGGATTTCTGGAACATCTTTCTGGCTTCATCGTGCATTCCTAAATCCAAATAGTTTATAGAATGCATTGCCCAGGTCATTGCTGGTCCACTGTCTCTGGTTATTGGTCCATATATCTTCAAATCGTTCATCCTTGTAGAACTGAAAAATAAACATTTTAGCCCTAAATATTTTTTATATCTCTTGTAAGTTTTACCTTTCCATTGGATACTGCAAAGGATATCCAATAAGTACAACATCAGCCTGTTTGATTTTCTCGGTTTGTGGATTAAATCCTTGGAACTCGGGATGATAATTTTTTTTTTGGTCGTATAGTAGTGTTAGGTGTTTAGCAATTTCTGCATAATTTTGGGAATTAGAAAAATGTCCACAAATGCATTTTGCGTACCTAAAAGATCTTTCACTATTATATGGCTTAACTATTTATTATTATAATTGATATTTAACTTTTTCGATACGAGTGTCGCCTAAGTTAAATTATTTATGGTTCTAATTTGTTTAGAAGTGTAATTTTTAATATTTTTTATGATGATTGCAAAATCTTATAATATTTTAAAAAAAGTACTTGTTGGCTCTTATAGCAGTGCCACTTCAGCAGAAAACCTTTTCAAAATATTTTATATATGTAACGGATTAATTAAAATTTATATCTATTAACTCCCCGGAGGAGAAGTTTATGTTCTCATTAAAAAATACGATTCGCTAATTGTATGCTTTCTCGACGTTTCATGCCATTCTGAGTCGAATGACACAAAATTTGGAAAAAGTATGTGTGTGTGTGTGTGTATGTGTGTGTGTGTGTGTGTGTGTGCGTGTAAGTGAACAGATTTTTTATTTTAAACTTACTCTCCCAAATACAAAGCCAAACCAGCAGCCACATTTGTGTATACAGAATTATTGATGTTGAAATGATCCTCATCTGGTCCCATTACATCTAAATACAATACAAAATATAAAATTTCACATTTTAAGCATAAATGCTAAAACAAATATACACTAAAATTTCAGAAAATAATTTTACTTACAATTTATATCGTATTTTTGAGTCGAAGTATTAAATTCAACCCTGGAGCTCCAAAATTCTGCAATGTCCAACAGCAAATCACACCCGTGATCCTAAAATATGTTAGAATTTTTTTTAGTGATTGTAATATCAGTAAAATTTCGTTAAAACTACATTGGAGCTTTTACGTGGTAGATACGTAACATGAAAGACACACATGTACTTAATATCTACGTAAACACAACTTGTTGTTTTTGCTATGTTTTAAATTTAGTGTGAAAGAAAAACATTTATTTATTCCTTTAATAAGTAGTTTATTAAATTGGTTAAACAGAGCTGCAAAAATATTCAAACGTAGCTAAAACGAAACAGTTACCACATGATACAAAATGAATACATGTTTGTGTCTTTTCTGTTACGTAACCGCCACGTACAACGTATTATTGATTTCATCTCTATCTTGTGGTTTACTGAAACTACATAACTTTAGTATTTTATTTATTTTATTTATTTACTTGTATCCAAGGATCTTCTGGTCCTTTAACTGCCAAGTATTGCCTGATGGCAAAAGAAACGTCTGCGGTGATATGATGTTGATATTTGGCAACTTCTGGGCAACAGGGTTGTGTTGTTTCGTAGCCTGTAAAGGCACTTTCCCAGGGAAACCTAAAAAAATAGAAAAAAAAATATTTTAATTTATTCATCTAATATAAAAAATACAAATATGTAATAAAATTTTAAGTCTCTTAGTCCGAAAGCTTTTTTTGAGGAGACAAATATTTATGATTTAAAGAAAATATTATAAAGATTTTTTAATGTAATGAATTGAAAACTTCTGAGTAATTTATTATTATTGAAGCTGAATGCACGTCTATAAAGTGACTGTTTTTTTCAATTAGTAGAGTCTTATTTATTAACTAAATAAATTTTTTATCAACTTAAAATAATGGTTAGAATTTTACTATTTTTTTTACCTAATACCGCGGCAACCGATTTCCGCAGCCAAATCTTTGGCAGCAATTTTTTTTGAAGCTCGATATTGCAGCAAAATTTCAGCTAAATCCGGTCGCAGCAGTAAAATTACTGGGAACATCCAAATTTCTGTATCCCAGAAATTATGACCTAAAAAAATAATTAAGCAGTTAATACATTTTTTTTTATACGAAATTAGTGTAGGAATTCTTACCATCTATATAGTAGAACTGCAGTTATTGTATTTGTTGTAACTTTTGAACTGTTGGTGCTAGGTAAATGAAATATTTGGCAAATTTATACAAAATTAAATTATCTATAATATTGTCCAACATTATAACGCCCTAAACCAACTCGGTATACTTCAAAACGGTAACTGAACACAAAAAATTAATTTGAACGTGATCAATATCACCCGTAATTTTTTCATATTTTTCATGATATCTCGGCCAAATAAAACCTTTGCATTTTTGAAACTTTGTACAAATATTCTTCATAAGTATATTCACAAAATGTAGTACTTATATTTTGGGTTCCGTACCTTCATAATCCAAAACTTCGCTACCTCTCGCCAAACTTCCAGGGCTCAACCCATAAAACTCCATCGGTTTCTGGTTCGTTCTGGTGGACGGCAGTGAGCTCAAAATGTAATAGAGGCTTCCATAAACTATTTTAGCCTAAAATAGTAATGGATAATCAAAATATAAACTATGTAGTGATATTGTATTAAAAATTTATTTATGATTTTTGGTAATTACTAGTTTTAAATCGCCTTCGATTTCGATGCGAGCTTCGTTCCAAGTTTCTTGCCAAGCCTGGATGTGGGAGTCTAGTAAATTTTCTGGCGCCAAATTCAAAACTAAAGGAAAAAATTATAATATTAGTAAAATCTACATTTTTCCTTACACATATCAAACATGTCTACTATCCATATATCTCATAATTGAGCTTGTGTGGTAAAAACTAAGTGAAATGCTCTGGCCCATAAGGCTTATTTTTTGGTTTTTATTTTTTACTCGAATTTTGTTTAACTTACTAACAGGTATTGTAACATGTTACAATCCTGAATAAATGCACAAACTTTTGATGAAATTTGCCAACGCACTTTAGTACATTTGTTTGTAAGGAGAGCCTCTCAAAGTCGACCGATTTGAAAAATTTTTGAAGTCATGGTTCAACAAAAAGTCTTAATTTTTGAAAACTTGAGGCAAACATGCCATTATTTTTAACTGCAGTCCTTAGATGTGTTATTTACGATCACAGTTCCAATTTTAATTGAACAAAAATAATAAAATTAACCCCAATAATCGAAAAATGGTTACAATTACACACAAAGCTCTCTAGGTTGCACTTGAAAGCCCATAATTTCCAACAACATGATAGAATTTTTTTTAAATTTTTTTTATTTTTTCCATTGACGTTGAGTTCTGGGACACCTATATATATATATATATATATATATATATATCATTTTTTACCATCCAAAATCTCCTTCTCAGCAATATTTCTTTTATTATCCATGCTCTGAACCAAAACGACGTCAACGACATCCAGCGGTTGGATTTCAACATCCGTGGCATTCACCCAGTACACGCAAACAGGTGTTAAACTTTCTTGGTAGGTTTTGTTCTCTGCTAAGGCAGTCTCGCCGCATTCCCTGTAGATGCCGGTTCGTGTTTTTTCCGTTGTTGAAGATGCCTGATTTTGTAGGATCGAAACGTATGTCCTGACTTGTGGGTCCTGGATCGCATTCCATTGGGATGTGCAATGTCCTGTTAACTAGAAAAAAATTATTTAATAATTATATATATTGCCAAAGCCTGATAATAAAAAAAATCTTGAAAATTTTATTCTAAGGTCATTTTGTTTGTTTATTACTTTATGGTTATAAAAGATCCTTCACCGATACGTCTTTTGTACATTTATTTTTCTAAATGCATTAAACTAAGGTCAAAAAATTTATACTGTGTTTTAATTATTAATATGTTCCGCAAGCATAGTTTTAAATCGTTTGGTATTTTTAAAAATGTTTTTTTGCCGTTAAAAATTTTATACTGTGTTTTAATGTGTTAATATGTTGTGTAAGCATAGTTTTAAATTGTTTGGGATTTTTAGAATAGTTTTTTTTGTCATTGAAATGGGTTTTATTAAATTTTGTCGAGTTTTATCAATATAAGTTAAGTTGCAGTCTTAACAATTAATTTGATAAGTTTTCTGGGTTTCTAGAACGTTTGTTTTTTTATAAATAGTATTAGAAGTTGTGCTAAAAATTCTGAAACTGTTGACTAGTGGCAGTCCTTTATTCAATGCGTTAAACGTCATGTCAGTCATTATGTCTGATGCTAAGAAATTTTATATAAGACAAGTTACACATACGTATATCATATATCTGATATCAGACATACGAGATTTTTTAGAAAGAAAAAAATATTTAATATAGATCTATGCCAGTAATTTATATGTGACATAAAAAATGGTATTTTTCCAGAAATTTCATCATTTTTTTGTTATATTTGATTCATTAATTTGTCCTGGCACTTTTTAACTGAATTACCTAATAAAGGTACCATGATTTTTTTTTATATTATCGTGGAACTTTTTTTTTTAATTTCAATATTTATTACAACTGTTAAATAATTAACATTTAGCAATAATGATAAATAATAACATAAATTTAAATAAATAAGAGTGTAAAGGATAGAATTTACATTAAAATAATATCCGTAGTAATCGTGGAACTTAACGTGTGAATTGAGTTAGATAAACTCTTATAATTTTCTTACCAATATTTCTAATCCTGATTTGAGTTATCAAAGTCCTCGTATAAAATTTGTGGGCGTAAATAAGTTCTTCATATATATATTCCTTTGTACGTTGTACTGATCTGTGAAGAAAAAAATAACTCAAAGTGTGAATTATGTAAAAAAAATAAGTTGTTCATTATTTTCTTATTATGTATGATATTTGCCAAAATATATGAACGTTGGTGTATAAATGTAAATTTGTGTGAATGGATGTTAATTTATAAAAATAAGTGAGTCCAAATTAATTTACATCAATTCTCATCTATTGATAATTGAGTATGTGTTAATTTTTCTTAACTTAACTCTCTTTAACTAATTTTTAAGTTTATCTATATTTTTAAGTCCTTTCAATAAATTTTGTCTAGTTTTACCAATGTAAATTCAGTTGCAGTCTTAACAATTGATTTGGTGAACCAAATGTCTAAGACGTTCAATTTTATTAAGTTCTTTAGAGTTAGATTTAAATTAATCTGATCTTTTATACAAAAAAATAGAAATAAAAAGATAAATTGTTTCAGAAACATATATTACAACAATTAAGCTCTCAAAATCTTAAATAAAAAACCTGATTTACTTTTTCCCGATCAAGTGAATATGCAAACTTCAAACATGAACAAAGAAAATTATAAATTAAGCAAGAAGAAATTTAGTAGAAGTGTTTTATATTTTTTTTCAGTAAATCTATATTTGTGAAGTTGTTTCGATAAATTTTGTCTAGTTTCGCCAATGTAAATTGAATCGCAGTATTAACAATTGATTTGATAAACTAGATTTCTAAGACGTTTTATTTTATTTTAAAAGTTAATACGTGAACTTGCAAGTGAACAAAAAAAATAATTTTTATTAAAAATAATTTGTTAATTTCATTAAACACTGATTATACACATCGTTATACACAATGAATGCTATAGCATTTACGTCATGTATTGAACTCTTATTTTAATCATATTTTATTTTATTTAATTGACTATTGAAAAAGCTAGAATAATGCGGAAATACCCAAAGGGTCAGTTGGTCATCACCTCGACGGGTGTAATAATTACAAAAACCTAAGGCTATATTTAATTACATTCAAAATAATTGATTTTAAAATTTAAATGCTATAGCATTCATAGTATTCTACTGAAAATGAGTGCTTTACCATTCACTTTTTCAAACTAGTTAAACTATTAAAAATTATTTTTCACCTATAAATTCCTTTCTTAACATCCAACTCAAAATGTCCCAAACTCTTCCTCCCCAAAGTTCCTCCAAAATTTTCCATTGATGGCCCACACCTTATATGGGCCCTAATTCTGGCCCTATGACTTCTACCACCTTCACCATTATACAAACCGTTCATATAAATTGCATCAGAGGTCAAAGTGTATCCCAAATGGCCATTGGCCACAGTTGGGAGTAGGCGTTCATTTTTGGCAACCTGGGGAAAAATAGAAAATTGATTTATACGAAATTTTAAATTAAGAAAATATATATATTTTTTTCATATTTTAAGTGAATTAATTTATCATATCCTGTTCATATGTGTATCATTCAATCTGCCATACATATACTGTATCTTTATATTATTTTAATTTATGGCACATCTCAACTGCTTTTTGACAATAATAATATAGACATTTCATTTTTCTTATTCATAATCATGAATTTATTATGCATATTCTAATATTGTCTAGGCTCATAAGTAAATTGAAATTTTTGGCAGATGACAGTTTTCATTTGCTTTTAATGCAAACAATGACATTTCGTTTTTCGCAATTTTTCCATTTATTTCTACAATATTGCACATACATCCCAGTACTTTATATTCACATAAATCCTAGAAAATTTCCTTAACAAACTTCAGAAAGATTTATCAAAATCCGAATAGTCGTTTAGGAGGAGTATACAGTGAGTGGTTGTAATTTAATATGAACTTTCTATAATAGCAATAAAGCTCGAATTGATTCTACGTTTTAGTTAGGAAACGTTTGTATGAGAAAAAGAAAAGGGCTGTTTTTAGGGTTCCCCGGCAATTATTCGATTTTTTCTCGCCGTAAAAACCACCCTTGGACTTGAACGAACATTTTAAAAAAAGAATTGGCCAAATCGGTCCAGGCGTTGTTGAGTTATGCGCTTACCAATACATTTTGCGAATCATTTTTATATATAAGATATCTCTATTTAGTAATAATTAACTATAAATATTAATTATTACTAAATATTTTATTCTTTTGCTTACTGTGTGGATTTAAAAATATAAGGTTCCGTACCAATGTCGTCAGGTTCAAAAATCCAATCCTCGTATGAAATTTCATCTGGTAATTTGTTTATAACAATTGCAGAAGAACATAATTTTACACTAAAAACTAGTAATATATAACTAAATAGTTTGAACATTGTCTTGCAAAAATAAACAATGGGAATGAATTATTTTTTTCACAAAGCCACAACATTGATAAATTATAATTGTTTTTATTTTTATTAACAAATTGTGTTTTTGTTGTTAATTTTCTTGGAGTGTTTACGTTTTGAACAAATGCAAAGGAACTGCATTATCATAAGAAGTTCTCAAGTTTGATTACAAAGTCATTGGTGGTCGAAAGACGGCTCGAGCTATATATTTGCAAGTTAAATATTTATCGAGTTAATTATAAAGATAAGCGAATATATATAAATATATATCATATATCAGTTAATATCAATTTTACGTGAAACAGTCAAAATTAACTAACATATTGTAATAAATAGTTTCAATATATATAATACATTTATTTACATATCTTCCTATACATAAAAAATTAAAAATAAATTAGTAAGAATCATGAATTTTTGAAATTAGTTTTCAGTTTTTGGTTCATAACAATATTTTGTCTTGTTTGACTTGACTAATGTATATTTTTTTTATTATTTTCTTATAAATTACAATCTGTCTATATAGAAGACATTGAGTAAATAATTTGACAAATAACATAGAATTTTAAAAGAAAAACCAAGTGGTTCACCTTTTATTAATGTACTAAATTATATCTTAATTAAATTTTGGTATTGACTAATATATAATAAACTAAAAATGTTTGACTACTAAATGCTGCAGTTTTCAAATAACTAACAAAAACGTGTTTTTTATAATATCAAATTAAATATTTTTATTTAATTTTACTATCATTGGTTTCCTTTGTTTTTTACAAATGCAACTTAACATTTACTTGTATATACATATTTGTGGATAATATTTATCTCAATGAACTTGGGAATATGTCAATACGTCACTAATAGCTTATCGATAGTTTTTTTTATATGTGTATATATATGTATATATGTATATATATGTATATGATGTATATGTGTATGTTTGTGTTTTTCTCCCAAGAAATCCAAAATCTTGACAGAAGTCTGTGACAGACAGTTCGGAAATGGGTTCTTTCACATTATCAAAGAACCTGTATATATATATATATATATATATATATATTGAATGGTAGAGTCTTGGATTTGTGTATATTTTGTAGAGTTTCGAACAAGAATCCAAAAATAATACAAAATAAAAAACAAGAAAAGTTTTAAAAAAAACAATTTCTTTATTTAATTATTTGTTTATTGTCGACGTTTCGGAACTAGGTACGTTCCATCTTCAGGACATCTGTCAAGAAACATGATCTTGATGAGATTTTTGCAAACAATATGTTTAGGAAAAGAAAATAGATTTTTCTTAAATAATGAATTAAATTGTAAAAAATATAATAATGTACAGAAATATGATAATATGTTCAAAATAAAAATGATAAAAATAAATGATTGGATTATCAAAACAGGATATTAAACATAATAGAAAATTTTTTGAAAGTTATGGAAATTTTTTAAGAAAAGGTTAATGACAAAGTTGAATTAATTACCTGTATGTTTGAATATTTGTTAGCACTTTTTCACTAAACAAGCTTTTTTAACAAAAATGATTTTGTGAGTTAATTTTCCGCCGAATAATTAGATTTTGTAAATCAAAATTACTAAAAACTTTGTCTTTTTTAAAATTATTATTTGAAAACACAAATAATATTGTTCTCTGGATGTTGTTCGATTGGTTTACGAAAATTAACTAAATGAAACTGGTGTGCCCTTTGTAACACGTGTAAACACTTGAACGAGAGATGTGAGATTGTATGTGTGTGTTTTTATATGTCAGGGTGTGAATACTTAAATTGTTGATCTTAAAAGAATGTTAATTTTACTTTTGATATATGTTCTACTAATTACTAATTAAGAAAATATATAATAAAATGATAGATAATAAGTTACAGGGTAAAAGATAATAGATAATAAGAATTCATATTTTTGTAATATTTAATCAATTGTTCAGCATTAATTATAATGCAGGGCCGGCAGTATGGTCAAGATTTGACCAGGGCTTTTATTTAACCTGGGACCCTTCGTGGTAGGGGATACGATTATATGAGTGTAAATACCTGTAACATATAATAATAAGGGAGTCTAGCAAATGTAATAAGAGAAGAAGGTTGTAGAGCGTAGTTCAATATATGTCATAAATTAAATAGTGGTTTTATTCACATCTTCTTATGGTGATGAAATATTTATAATTTACAGTCCACTCAATATCAAATTAATCAAAGTGATCCTCACCATAATTGGTGATATATATGTATATATATATATTGGGGATATATATGTATATATATATATATATATATATATATACATATATATATATATATATATATATATATATATATAAATTGTGCAAGGTCAGAAAACCTTTGAAAAATAAATATCAGCGATACGAAACCCAATAATTAGGAACAAAATAAAAAAAATATTTTTTTAGAGTGAAATCATCTATTTTTTTTAATATTTTTTCTGATAAAATAGTTTAACTTGAATTATTTATAATCAGTTTTCTAATTTTGTGTTTTTCTGAAAAAATGGATGATGAAACTGAAAATATGAAAATATATTACACTATTTTATTAAAACTTTAAAAAACTCTATATAAATTAGTAAAATATTTATATCCATTCTTTGGTTAATGGTGTTAGAAGAATTGATAAAAATAAGGCAACTTTCAGCAATTTATAGGATAAACCTAAATTAATATTAAACAGAATAATATATAATATATAAATTAAATTTAGATAACTGCAACAATTAACGCAAAATCTTTAGTGCAATACATCAAGGTACAAATTGTAGAAATTCACAAAATCTTTATTAAATTGCCATCAAGTGACAAGTGACATTTTGAAAAAAGAATTTTTTTAACAAAATAATTTTCAAAATATTGTTTAATACTACTTGATAACTTTAACAAAGCGAACAGGTATCATTTCTTTTGTTCATATGAATGAAAAACGATTCTGCAAAGCGTCTCTGCGACGTATTTGTGATAAAATATTGTAGGAACTTTGAAATTGAATCTATGATTATAATTTTAATATGATCAGTAATCATGGTTTAATTTTGCTTCTTAATTTTGAAATTTTTGTGTAAGGCGTTTTATTTGATGCTGCCTTGATTTACCTACATAAATAGCCTCACAATCTTTACAATTAATTTTGTATACTATGTTAGATGTTTGGTCTATATTATTGCCATATATATCTAAGCATCCAAAATTAATGAACAAGTAACACTCACATATATATATATATATATATATATATATATATATATATCATATATCGTTGTATCTATTTATCCTTTACAAAAAGTCTTTCCAAAATGGGAACAATTAGCGTGCTTTTTGGCATCGAAACTTCATACTCTCTTCTTGTATGTCGTCGTTGTCTGGTGCGAAAATAAATAAATCTTTGTTAAGTAGAACTAGAAGAACAGAAAAGCACCCCCTGAGAGGATACTACCCTCTCGACCACTTCACCCCCCACATATTTTGAAATTGAGCCAAAATTGTTGGAAATTCACTCTTAATAAAATGTCCGATATAAAGGATACATGATAGTAAATAATAAAATTAGAGTAAATGAAGTAACAATTATTTTAAACAAATTGATCAAAGTCAATATTTGTTGTTAGATTTTTTTCTCGTAATTGGATGAAGGGTTATCCTAATTAATTTACAAGTTTCTTGCAAACATCTGAAATCTTGTAGTTAATTTTATACAAACTAGCAAACCCGACGAACTCCGTTTCGCCACCAGATGGTTTCGTGAGAAAGATGA